AGCGCAGGGACAGCTTCGGCCTGGTGTTCATGATGACCTTCCTGATGCGAGACGTTGACGAACTGCTGCACGGTGCGCAAGCCGTCCACGCTTTCCTCACCTTCTGCTGCGAAGGGGGCCTTCCCTGGATGGCCCTGTCCCAATTCTTCGTGTTCCAGTTTCACTACCGCATGACGACGTACGTGTCCGGATAAACCGTCCTCACAAAAATTTTTTTTTTTTTTTTCCCTTTTATGGCTTCGATTCACAATGTCACAACCAGGATTTGCCTTACCGTGATGTCACGAGTTGTGGTCTGCGAACGAAAAGTTCGATAGTATGTGCTAAAAGCATGGTGGAAGCTTGCAGTAGTGGTGCCCTTACACTAACAGCCTCCAAGATGACGGTCTGACGTGGCTCTTATTTCCGTCATTTAAAGCAAAAAAAAAAATTTTTTTTGTTGTTTAGAATTACGGTTGCAGCTGAAGAAACGTCCACGGTCTCTTCCCGCGCCTGATAACGCCGGGTGCGTGAGAAGTGAATGCCACGGGCACGGCCACTCGATCCCCCCTGTCCTAATCGAGTGGCCGTGCCCGTGGCATTCGCTTCTTTCGCGCTATCTCCATTTCGGAGGCGCATACGCGATTGGCATTAACGCTTCGCCGAGTCGCGCGAAGAGAATCGCGTGAACTGCCCGTGCCGCAGAGCACGCGACCTGGGCCGCGCAGCCGCTGTGGCCACTCGCCACTCTATGCCACTCCGACAAAGAGGGGCAAAAAACGGTCTTGTTGGAGCCGACCAGTGGAGCCGACGCAGACGCAGCTCCGGTGCTACCTGCGTGACGTCACTTCCGTGACCAACCCAAGCAGCACTCATATGGTCCTCCGGATATCTTCACGACGTCCCGCCTGTGCTGCTAGGGAAGTTCTCAGACATCGGCCTCCCAACTTTGCACCCCCTTCTAAATGCGAAAAAAAAAAATAATAATAAATGATGTCGAAAGTGTTGTTGTTGCTACGCTGAGTCTCGACGGAATACGTTAGCGTTCAGCGCGGGGGTTCCGACTCGGCGAAGGATGGGCATTCCAACCTCGCGCAACGGTCCGCGGAGCCCAAGTTCGTCTGCTTCTTGCACAGGGGTTGCGATGACGTCAGAACGCCGACTCTTATTTGGCTCAAAGAAAAAAAAAAAGGGTATTGGGTAGATTTCGGCACAAGCTTGTAGTGGCCACTAAACGAAAACTTGAAGGAAACAAAGGGAACAAGCCGCATCCTCCTCCTCATCGTCATCATCATCATCTTCGAGGCATCTAGCATTCAGGTCTACCCACTGATCTCTATGACAATTGCTGGATCGCGCTTCCCCGCTTGTTCGCTGCAGCGCAAGTGAAGCCACCGGGCTTCACTCGCTTGGGATACGATTTGCCGTTTTTGCTAGCCTTTGCTGCGGTTTTCCAGCGTGCTGACGACACGTTTTCTACTCGTTCGTCGTCATTCGCCGAAGAAGTTTTTTGAAGACTCTGTGTATTGTTGAGACTTGCCGTTGTGAACACGTGGAAAAGTTTACGAAAGTGCAGTGTCGCAGGAAAAAGGCACAACGCGTCGAAAGGAAGGGCTGGCGGCGTGTTCAAAGCATCCTTGGCACGCCGAAGTGCCGTGTCTCTGTGCCTTCGCACGCTTGGATACCGACCAAGAACCGACGCCGTGTGTATGTGTTCAGCGAGTGCAATGTGCGTGAAGCTGTTCGTGCCTCTGGATCAGCGTCTTTTCCTCTCGCGGTTTAGGAACGAGCTTAATCCAGCGTCCACTAGCGACGGAAGATGGGGAGAAGGTACGTCTTTTTTTCGTCCTTAGACGATTTACACAATACCGTGCACAACAGCTCCTCATCACTGATCAGTGCTGGCTTATTATCAACCTACTTAATTGCACTTGACGTTTGAGCGCGGCTCGCCTAATTGTAATTGGTCAACAGATTGCACACGACCATATCGGCCGCGCTTCAAAGATTTTCATTCTCGCCGTCTTGTACTTTTGCTTTCGAAAACCCCCCTGGCTCCACAACGTTGCCCTATTCGTGCTCCCACGGAATCTATTAGAGTAGATTTGGGACATAGCCATGGTTAATATAGTACATAAGAACACGTACAGATCTCCCCCTTTTATTGATAGCAACTCACCGGGACAGCTGGACGATCCAGAACTCCGTGGCCGATATATATAAATGATCTAAAGGCATCTACGCGCGACACACGTTCAGAACTTTGGCGCGGCGTCAATTCTTGACCGGTATCCAAGCGTGCGAAGGCACAAAGATGCATCACTCGGCGTGCCAAGGAAGCTTTGATCACGCCGCGACACCGGCGACACGTTTTCGACGAGTCGTACCTTTTGATACGGCTTCACGCACATTGCACTCGCTAAACACATTCACACGGCGTCGGTTCTTGGTCGGTATCCAAGCGCGCGAAGGCACAGAGACACGGCACTTCGGCGTGCCAAGGATGCTTTGAACACGCCGCCAGCCCTTCCTTTCGACGCGTTGTGCCTTTTTCCTGCGACACTGCACTTTCGTAAACTTTTCCACGTGTTCACAACGGCAAGTCTCAACAATACACAGAGTCTTCAAAAAACTTCTTCGGCGAATGACGACGAACGAGTAGAAAACGTGTCGTCAGCACGCTGGAAAACCGCAGCAAAGGCTAGCAAAAACGGCCAATCGTATCCCAAGCGAGTGAGGCCCGGTGGCTTCACTTGCGGGAGCGGCAAACGCGATCCAGCAATTGTCATTGAGATCAGTGGGTCTACCCATATTATGGTGCCTCGATCATAGAGATCAGTGGCCTCGATTGCGTCTTCGACTGGTGTGTTTACCGCCCTATCCCGCCCATACCAACAAATGACGCGAGTGTCATGCTGTTGACTGCCGCGATCCTGGCGGTTGGCCGTAGAAATGCTGGCGAAAAGCACGAGCGAACGCGAGTGTCGCTGTCGTCACGGCGTCGCTTTAGGCGTCCCAACTTCCGGCTGCCCTAGCTTCCGTGAACTGTCACAATGGAAAGCGACCTGCAGCAGAACAGGCGTCTGCCAGTTTTACCACAACTGTTGGGACGCCGCCAGGGTCGCGACCGGCGACAACATGACACTTCTATGACTTTTTTGGCCGCGGTAAACACACCAGTCGGAGACGCGTTCCAGGCACCATACCCATATATTCTCCCAACCAAAGCCAATGAGAACTCTGCGTCGTTCTGACGTCACGCGAGAAGCAGACGACTTGCTCTCCGGATACTCCCGGGCCTCGGTGGCTTCGGATGCAGCCACCGCAGCTTCCTGCCTCCCCCGCGGCACGTCGTTGGAAGTGTGTTAGAAGACTCTTTCGAGGGAAAGTGGACGTAACGAAAGAAACGAATGGAGCGAAGGAGCACGGCGGGAACCGCGCACCGCGCCCAGGCCTCACACATTCAGTCCAAACCACGACCGTCCGAACGAAAAACGGCTGCATGCACCGGGGCAATCCATCGAATAATCCGCTAAAGAAGAAGCAAGAAAGAAAGAAGCAACACACTCGAAGGAGAGAAACACGATAAAATTTGAAAACGCACATATTTCCCAAACATGCTCGTTCTTAAAAAAAAACAAAAATAAATGCGAGTTTACCAAACAGGGATTTCCCTAGACCCCCCCCCCCCCCCTAGGGGGGGTTGAGACCCCCCCCCCCCCCTAGATTTCCTAAACACCCCCCCCCCCCCCCGCTCTTAAATAAAAAAAAATAAAAAAAAAATAATTTTTTTTTTTTTTTTACTATAAGTAGAAAACACCACCTCTCAGGTGTATATATAGAGAAAGGGAAACATACATTACGGGTATGAGCATTTGGTTAATAGACGTCTGTAGTGGACTAAAAAAGAAACAGTTTTATATTTTATCTAGCCTCGCCTGGCATCGCCTCCCCCCGAGCCATTGGGACACCCCACCTTGATTAGAATCCTGGGGAAACCCCTGAGACCAAATAATAATGGGATTGCTTATCCTCCCTGTGCACATTGCGTTTCTATAATCGTGTTCTCAGCTTCGTCATTCGCTGACGCCGTGATTGGCTGTATCCGTGTTCTGCAAAAAAAGTCGCAGACATTTTTTTTTTTAGGTGTTGGTCAAACAGTTTCTAGAGCGCAGCTTTTAGGCGCCCGTTTCCGGCTTGAGCGGCGTCGCCGTCGGCGTAACCATGCGTTGCATTATGGGACGTTTCCCATAATGATGTCACACGTGACGTCACACGGCGCCTAAATTTAGCGGAAACGTTCCCCGCTCAATTTGGCCGGGAATTCGTTCCGCTAAATTTAGTGGAAAAATTTCCCCGCTAAATTTAGCGGGGAATTTGTTCCGCTATATTTAGCGGGAAATTTGGCGAAACATTCCTACTAAATGGGAGGGGAGCACGAGGGGAGGAGGGGAGGGGGAGGAGGGGCATACCCTTCCCTTCTCCTCCTCAAGAGCTGCGCTCTAATGGTACGTTTACACCTGAAAAGAAATCCACTGTCGCGGGAGCGGATCCGCTCCCGGCGGTGGCGGCGACGAGCTGGTTATGTTTACATCTATTTCCTTCGAAGAGTGGCGGCAGCGCCGGCTGCGGCAGCGGTTCCCGTAACGTCTCGTCAAATATGACGAGAAGGCGCGAGAGTTCCCGCCTCGGCTCTCTCTCTCCCGGGCGTTGCTGCTCCCGGAAGAACGCGTACTCGTGACGTAGGCAGCGTCGCGCCGCGCAAGAATGTCACATCCGATCAGCGAAACGCCTCGTTCGGCGGCAGAAATAGGTCCTGGGCCAAAACGGCTCGCCGCCGCGTTTTCCGCCCAGCGTTTCGCCCCAGCGGCAAAAGCTGGGCGGATTCGCTAGCGGATCCGCACGTGTAAACGTACCATTATTCGGCATTACAGAGAATTGTAAGCGTCTTTAATTTTTTTACAAACAACAGATCGAACAAATTAATAGCTAAATAAAATTCGTACGTTTTTTAAGTGTTGGGCAACATTCTTTTTTTGTCGCGGCACAGAAATGTTTTTATTGTGCATGGTCATGATATGACTTGACCTTCGCCTGCAGCCACAGACAGGGTGCAGGACCGGACAGAAAACACCTGTTCCTCCTGGATGTAGTGTATCACGTGATCCAGTTCTCCGTCGCCTTACTGGCCGTGGCTTCCAGGGTACCTCCGGCCGATAAGATGGCTCTGGCGCGCCACTCGCTGCACGGGTTGTCCCTGCTCTACCACAGCTACGTTCTCTGGTGAGGTTCTGGTCAAGTATCACAGAATCCTGCGAAGCAGCGTTGAAAGTAACGCGCTACAAGTAACGACGTTACCTGGTAACGCGTTACTTGGAGCTCGTGTCGCGCCGGCCTCGGTGGCGTGTCGCGAAAATCCTGATTGGTCATTAGGGCCATGACGTCACAGCCACATGACCTCGCGCGGGAATTTCAAAAACCCACAACGCTCACGCTCACGTGACGTCACGCGTGGAATGAAAGGAATTAAAAACATGACATGTAATGCGAATTAAGGTCGCCGCTCGTCTCAGATGATCTCACTTTATAAAGCCATTCCTTTGCCTTAAAGAAGATTTTGAATGATTTTAGGCGGGATTTGAACCGTACGCCATTTCGGTTACGAGACAGACACGTATACCGACTAGGCCACGCAAGTCACGCTTGCACGGCTTGGGACGCTAATGCGTTCTACTATTAGAAGCGGCAAAAGTGTGCAACGGGATGCTACAAACACCAAAGCATCACTCATACAGCGATATCTCGAACGGATGACCGTATTTTTTAAAAAAAGGGGCGCATTTGGCAGGAATGTTGACGTCATGTTTCTCCGAGAAGGAGAGGGAACGGCCTCGCGTCTTCTCCGCCTCGCGGCCTTGAGCAACAGGTGTTGCCTTGAGGGAGCGAAGCGAACAGAGGAGGAAACTACGTATCTTGATGTCACGCGTCTCGTCGGCCTGGTTCAATGTCGACTTCTTTTTCCAAAAATACGGCCGTCCATTTGAGATATCGCGTTACTAGTAGTGTTGTAGGGATTGTAGCGTCCCGCCTACATCTCCTGCATTGTTTTTTTGAAACTCAAATTACGGTTCACCATCCCTTTAAAGTTTTTTTCCTTTACTAGCCGCCGCGAGAGATAGCGCATATAAAATTGAAAGAAAATCGTCTGAAATCTAAGGGCAAACTAACTTTCAAAATGACACTTTTTTTTTTTTTTTTTTTGTAGCCACGTTAGGAACGCAGAGCCTTCTAAATAATGCGAGCCGGTTTATCCGTTGAGGCAATGTGAGAAGCGTCAGACTCAATGGGCATGTGACGTCTCCACTGTAGTTGAGAAACTTGGCTACACTTTCCGCCACCATCGGCTTTCGGAATGTCCTACTATACAGTTGCCGTATTATTTTTCGGACGCCGATACCTCGGAGATGCTGGATTATTTAGACGTCTTCGCGGGATATGAAGTTAACACATCTGCAGCGTCGTAAATCTCGAGTGCCTTTCAACTCGTAAGCTGCAGGCTGTACCCACAAGACCACCACCGTGAACCGAGCTGAACGCTATCGCGAAGCGGTTTCTAATGGCGCCAACCGGGTCCGCGACAAATGTTACACAAACAACGTGACAATGATGAAAAAAAAAAAAAAAAAAGAAAGAAACCTGCCCCGTTTTTGCCGATATTCATTTTTAAGGTGGGCGATCTTTCGGTGCTGTATATAATATGTGCTAAAAACCGAGGGGGGGGGGGGGCCGATATTTTCTCAATGGGGCACGCTGCTTTATTCTTTTCGACGAAACCCCCTTTTAGGTTTGTTCGCAAATACACAGCGCTGATATATATGCAGCGCTGCATCAATGTTACGTCCAAGTTAGCGCAGCACTTGCGATGTATCTGTGAACTGGCCTTTAGATGAACATCTATATAAACACTTCTTTTTCTTCTTTTATTTGAAAATTATACACGGATTGTCTATCCGTAAGTATGGTACATATAATCATCAACAATTGTGCAGTCTTCTCTTTTTTTTTATCGCGTGACGTTGCACGATATTTCGTCTGCCATCAGTATGCCCAGATGAATGCATGGCTTGCACTGACGTCAGGTGAGCGCTGAGCGCGTATACCTTCTGCAGCGTACATTCCACACCAGGGAATGTTAGCAGACGATCCAGCAACGTTCGCCCATGCACACCAGGCACTCCGCGTGTGCAGAAACCTTGAGTCGCACGAGCTTCTGCGCCGTGCCGACAGCGGCGCCACCGTATAGTGGCGGGACGTCGAGCCGCGAAATTAGATTTATTTTGTCTAAATTGGATTGACTAGTTTTAAATGAGCTTAATTTGATTTGAATCAGTGTAGCTAGAATGACTCTATATCATTACATGTATTTCGAAAAATGGCAATTGGTTGATCAATCCGTCCGGTCATTGATAACAAGGAATAATTTCTTAAAATTTAAGGATAGTGGCGGGACGTCGAGCCGCATGTCGGACTACAGGTATCATAAAAGAAATTAGATTTATTTAATCTAAACTAAATTGATTTGTTCTAAATTAGCTTATTTTGATTTGAATCAATGTAACTAGAATGTAGCGACTCTATATCATTACATCTATTTCGAAACATGGCAGATTGATTGATCAATCCGTCCGGTCATTGATAGCAATGCGGAAGGAGTAATTACTTAAAATTTAAGGTACAGTTTAATTAACAACTTTTTTAGTATATAAACCCGCAGGGCAAAAACGGCTCGGTTTTTTTAGTTTGATACAATATTTATTTGCTCTTCTTTCACGTTCTAATTTACTCGCAATAAGACGTTACTTTTCTAGTTTGTTTCGTTCTTTCGCGTCCTGATTTGCTCTCAATATAGACATTATGGAATCGACAAATAAAGTGGAAGGTAGAAGGAAACCTCCGATTTGTTCAGTAAAGAACTGCTCTCTGTTTGTGTGCAGTGTGTTATACATCAATCCTGCTCTATGATTCTTTGATTTTAGTACAAAAACAAATTTGCACGGAAAGCATAAAATGAAGAACAAACGGTGAATAAAAACTATTTTCGGAATTATGTTTTTGCGGGAAGGATTTGATCCGATTTACATGGCAATTTCAATCACGATTTAATTCATCATGATTTGGATTCCCCGGCCTGGCGTAGAGATGAAACGTCTGTGCACGAGCTGTGACGGCACCAGCGGCGAACAGGGTTCTCTCCTCGGTATAGCACGCGTCCCGGTCCCCGCAGGTCGTTCTTCAGGTGGGTCCGGATGACCCTGCCCATCGTGAAGACGGTGGCCTGCGGCTCGGGTCGCTTCCTGAGCCCGGCCATGTCTCGCCTGCTGCTCTTCCTGCTCGAGGCCCAGGGCGGGAACGCGCCCATGCTCCGGCTCTTGGAGCGCGTGCTCCGGCTCCAGGAGCAGGTCCGTCAGCTGGCCAGGGCCCTCCAGCGGCAGGAGGGCGCCCCGGTCGCTGCGCCGCCCGGCCACAACCCCGACCGGCTGGACAGACTGGCCCTCGACCAGGAACGGCATGCGCTCGCAGACCAACGATTATGAAATACACCGATGACATCGCAACGTGTTGTGTTTTGTACTCTGCGAGCGAGTATAGGAGCTGCTGGGAAGTTTTCGTAGATCGTTTCTTCCGCCCCACAATGATCTCCGCAACCCGCTACGCTATCCGGAACTCTGCAGTCAAGGCATGCGCGTAGTGTGTTCTCGTTGCGGAGAGCGTAGCGGAGTAGGGGAAACGATAGAAAACTAAGTCCCTTGGTGTGTATTTCCGTGCGATCCTTGAAAGTAAATGGCGCCCATAGTCAGTTGACAATGGGGAGTTTTCGTAGACCACGTTTCCCCCTCCGCTAAGCCCTCCGCAAACTAGAAGCCGCTACTGCGCCTGCGCGCCGATGGCCTTGACTGTAGAGTTCCGGGTATCGTAGCGCGTTGCGGGACGCCGAAAACCGTCTACGAAAACTCCCATAGTATTTCTACACTCGTTTTCACCTCAAAAACAATAATACAAAAAAAAAAAAAAAATAAAGCGGCTTATCGCGGGGTTTAATTTCCTCCCTTATGTGGATAATTAAGATATATGTAGGTGCATTTTAGATTCGATATGTTGTTTTATCAAGACGCGCTTCACGCCAAAAGCGTCACTTCTTCCTCCGAGAACTGCTTCGCGCGGCCTATGAGCAATGCGCAACCTTTTTTTCCTGGGGTGAAAACGAGAGCGCCTCCCGTCTTTTCGTGGTACGTCCGCTCGGTGGCGTCGCTGCGCTGTCACAGCATTGAGGGTGTAACTTGCTTGTCCCTGGAGTTCGTCTCAAAAGGTAGCAAAGTTACCCCTTCTGCTTGGGAGCAACTTTTACACCCTATGTCAGGGTGCACCGGTGCTCCCTTGGGGAGATAACCTTATGTCTAATGAGGAGCAATAGCCTTTATTTCAAGGGTGCTATTTTACTTCCATTAAAAGATAATAGGGCATACTTTTGGGTTGAAGGTTTCACCCTTTTTGGGAGTGACAGCACATGCTTTAGGGTTGCAACTTCCTCTTTTAGGGGGCAATAACAGGCAACCAGTTTACACCCTCTTTACGGCTACCTCAATATTACTAGAATACTGAGGCCAGATTCTCAAAGCGAACTTACGACGAAAAAAATGCGTACGACAAATTTGAGAGAAAATCCGTATTCTCGAAACGAAATTGTCGTAACTTTTGCGCAGGTTACGACAAAATCCTACGACAGCTCCGAAGCTGTCTTACGCACTTTCTACGATCAAATTAACATGGCCGACAACGTCGCTCAGGATAGCTAGGTTCGACATTGTACATGTACCTTTTTTTAGTACACGGAAGTGACGTCATCACGTCTGATTGGTTGGAAACAAAAGTGACGTAATTTCCCTAGAAAAATGTGGGCGGAGTCGGCAAAACTGGGCGGAGTCGGCTACCGGACGTGACAACAAAATGACGTTTCGTTTTGTACCGAGTACGTTTCAAAAGGTACTTGCTCGGAACTAGGTGTCATTGGCAGCATGTGTTCGGCGGCGAGGCGTCGCCGTCTCGTCAATTCGTCTTTTTCTTTAATAGAGCTTTTTTTTTCGCCAGAAAGGCTGTATCGGGAACACCGCGATGCATTCGAGCTCGCGGAGGAGATCTTTTGGAAGCAATACCAGCAATACCGCCTGCCCAAGATCGTGGTGCGGTGGTTGTGCGACGAACTTTGCGAGGAACCGGAGGTGAGGAGAGTGCGTACCTCGTGGACGGTCATGACTGTGGAGCTTCAAGTGCTGTGTGCACTGCACTTCTACGGCACGGGGAGCTTCCAAGGCATGGTGGCGAGCGACGAACACGTAGCGCGGGACCAAAAGACAGTCAGCGTTGCGGTCCGCGCCGTGTCCGTCGCTATCGTGCGTCGTCTCGGGGTCCAGCGTGGCTGGATCCACTTCCCCGAGACGCCGAGCGAGAGGTTCGACGCGGAGAAGGGCTTCAGGCTGTTCGGCAAGATACCCGGCGTCATCGGTTGCGTGGACGGGACCATGGTCTCCATCGTCGGCCCGTCCAAGAACGACCCCACCGTCACGAAGGCGACGTACTGGTGCCGCAAGTACTTCTACGCCCTCAACGTGATGGTGGTAAGTACACTCATGTTACGTTGTCAAAACGCGCCCCAAATCTGTAGAAAAAAAAAAAAAAACGTATTGCCGATACCGTTTAAGTATGCCGTTTTATGACTGCGGGCTGTGGGGTCTCACGACTGCGCGAGCGTGTGCTCTACGTAGCATGTGAGCCGTGAGACTCTTCTCCCAAAAATAATATTTGTCTGTTAAAACGTGCAAGCTTCCGTAAAAAAAAAAACACATTATTTTTGTTTCAAGGTAGTTAGTTGTACCTTGCATCCAGGAAGGTGTGTTGACATGCATGTGTCAGACAAAATAACTTAAAAGGTTCTGAAATTGCGACTGCTTTGTGAACCATAAGTACAATCTACTACTTGTGGATTCAGGTAATTACATGTCAATATCTCTCTCACTTTCAGGTGTGTGACGCCGACTGCCGGATAATGTGCATCGACCCACGGTATCCCGGGTCGGTGCACGACTCCTTCGTGTGGCAATTTTCCTGGCTCCGAAACCAACTCGAGCAAGGGCAGGTGCCACGCGACGGCCGGTTCCTGCTTGGTGAGCATATTAATTCATTCCTTACGCACACGGTGGCTCCCACTGCTTGAAAGCCACAGTACCACACGTACTGTGCTTGTTGTGAGGCACACAGACACAGTTGCTGGAACTCCTTGAAGTGAGACAACACCCAAAGTTTGGCCATTAATCTCTGTTTATGTCCACATAACTCTCACACTCTGCAGGCTACTAAAGCCACACTACACCAATCTCACGACAGTGATAGACTATGCAAGGAATGCGACCGCAGTGCGAGTCGCTGTCCGGTTCGGCCCACTCACTGTTACTGTCTGCCTGTACCCTCTTGCTGGTTGGTTTTTGCATGAAGTTGGAGCTCTTTCGCTGATCCCTGGGGGCTCGCCTGGTCGCTTTGACGGTCGTCAGTTTGTACGGAATGGGATCAATTCCTCCTTGGCCACTTGGGGCTCGCCAAATCTGTCCTCGGGTCGACTCTGTCCCACACACTGGATTCTTTTCCCTGACCCTTCTTCTTCGGTCTGCTTATATAGCTCCTCCTATTAGACCCTCCGTGTCCCAACAGGACCTGACTCCTTTCCAATCTAACCACCCCCTCTCTTTTCCCCATCTCCAACTCCACCGAGGATTAGGAAAGAGGTTCGTCGAACTGGCGCCTTATCCCCTTGCTTGCCAAAGACAAGGCCAGCGTGTTCTGCTCTGCCCGTACCTAAGGTCACGGCCACACTCCCAAAAGCAACAGAGCTTTTATCTGTCGGATGCAAGGGTCTAATAATGCACTTGCATACAACACAGCACCCCTAAGGAATCGTGCACACATCCCATACAACCCACCAGGAAAACACATAGTTACATGAAATAACAGGGAGTTTGCAGGCAAGCTGGTGCTAATTAATCATAATGTAAACTGATACTGTAGTGCAGAAATATTAACACACTTTTAAGTCCCACTTAAGTTACATTATAATTGACATAGTTGCACACAGCTGTTTTCTTGCCTTTTATTTTAAAAAGTAAAGAATGTAATATGTTCCATCCTCTACATGTGCAGGTGACAGCGGCTACCCCTTAGAGCCTTGGCTCATCACCCCTGTCCCCTGGAACCACGCGACCTCCACCGCTTGCGGCCGGTTTAATAAGGCGCATTCCTCGATCAGGTCTGTTGTGGAGCGCTGCATCGGGCTGTTGAAAAACAGAATCCGGTGTCTGCAAAGGCACCGGGCTCTGTATTACCACCCTTCAACAGCCACCGCCATTATTTCGGCATGTGCAGTGCTCCACAACATCTGCCTTGCATCGAGCGAGCCAGAACCGGAGTCAGACTGCGACCCTGAAGAGTCAGAGTTGGAGTCTGAGCCGAGCTCGGACGGTTCTGAGCCGAGCTCGGAGAGGTCAGCGTCGGCTCCCGAGAGGCTGGCTCCTGCCGGCCCTCCGGTCGGCCTTCCGGTCGGCCTCTCGGACGGGGAAGGCTCTGAGGCAGCGCCTTGTCGCCTGGTTCGGAACCCGCCGCAGACGTGCCCGTGCGGAGCGCCACACGCAAGGGGTCCGCCGCCACGACAGTAGTCCCGACCACCAGGGACACCGTCGGGAAGCCCCTCAGCGCCCTCGCTGCGGTGGTGCCCAGCACGGACGCCGCCAGCGACAGGGAACCTCTCGCCACCACGACTGAGGTCCTGACCACCAAGGACCCCGTCACATCCTTGCCCTCAGTGAAGCCCTACGCGTGGAAGCCGTAAAGTGCACACTTCGCTTCCTGCTCCACAGTCATGGCCGTCCACAAGCTACATACTCTCTTCAGCTCCTACACCTTGTGAAGTTCGTCGCACAGCCAGCGTCCTGCCTCCGGATACGTGTCGAGTGCATCGCGGTGAAATCGATACAGCCTTTTTTTTATTCTTATGAGCAGAAGGCACGAGACGCTGTCGACAGTGACAGAAAAGGTTCGGAGGTTTAGTTGCCATACCAACAAATCATCTGGATTGCCCCTGCAAAGAACTCAGAAGTAATTTAGACTACCTCTAGAAAGAAATGCTTGCTTTTGCAGAGATTGCTTTCTTAGTTGCTGATTGAACCAGGGATATTGTTGTCATGGACATTGTTTCATTTTACAAATGCTTCAAAGCGTCTTGCCTTCTGCTCCATTTTATTATCTCTTTTATGGTACTTCATCAAAGTTAGGTGATTGTGTTATCTCAAGACAGTGCACATGTAGTTTGTTTTGAAAATTGCTTTATTTCTTAAAGAAAAACCTGTGACTTCATGAATAAAAGTGTGATAACATGGAATGTAATATTTCATTCTTGAAAGTAAAACTGAGCATCGACTGGAACCATGTAAGCAATTGGGCAATCTTAAGTATATATCACCGATATCTTGTTGAACACTCTGGTCTTATTTGAGCACAATAGTAAATTTCGAAAGGAAAAAAAAAATATATATTCTCTGACTAGCATACCACCATATAAACACTGGACCACTTTGAAAGAATTATCACAGATGTTGCGCCAAACATTCTTATTTGAGCACAGCAATTGGCGACGTGCGCGACCGAAAGCGTCGCTGTGGTCGGCCTTCCACGATCGGCCCAAAAGCTGACTATGACGTCGGAAAGGGTATACCATCGACGGAAATAAGAGGAATGAAAGAACTTTAATTTCGACGGTGTTGGCAGTGTTGCTTTAAGAGCGCAATGACTTCAGGCTTCT